GAAAAAGCGCTTGCTGGGTTGACAAAGATGGCGCCACGCCGGAAGTGCGTCACACGTAAGTGCCGTTGACGCACATTAACTCAAGACATTGTATTCATATTTATTTTCTTTTATATGGCTCTATTGAGTCATTTAGCCATTTATATATGCCCCACGGTTACATATTACTATGGATGGGTAGTAGATTTATCCATTCCGTTTGTTTTATAAGTTCTGCAGGAGCGCTGCTTAATATTCTGTATTGGTGCGGCTTTCTGCTTGTATATTATGAATACAATGTCTTGAGTTAATGTGCTACAAGAAAATGGCCGCTGGAAGTGCCACCCAATACTCCTGATTGGTGCAGCTCCCGGCCTTTATAAGGAAGTGCGGTCAACCAATCACGATGTCCTGATGAAGTCACGAGGTCACATGATGCAACGTGTCGATGGCACTTACGTGTGACGCACTCCCGGCGTGGCGCCATCTTTGTATACCCAACAAGCACTTTTTTTTCATGCAGTACACCTGGCTTATGGTATTCCATCTGTTACAAGCTGTATACTGTGCTCATTGGATTCTATCTTGATACATATTGAACTTTACTTCATGCAAGCTATACCCATGTGAGTGCATTTTTTGACTTTTTTATTCTATGCCATTTAAACAGTATTACACTATGGAGAGTTGTTCTCTTTCTGTTATATGAGCATATGATCTATGGTACCTATGGGAGTGCTAAGCTGTCTATAAATCAGTCCAGTGGAATGGTGAATGGTCAGCACCTGTTGGCGTCATCTTAATGACAGAGTGGCTACTCTGAGGATCTAGAGGAGCTTTTTCTTGCTTTGTGGCCCTGCAGGGTCATGAAGTGGAGGTGAGAGGCCATTCTACCCATTCATAGTAATATGTAACCGTGGGGCATATATAAATGGCTAAATGACTCAATAGAGCCATATAAAAGAAAATAAATATGAATACAATGTCTTGAGTTAATGTGCGTCAATGGCACTTACGTGTGACGCACTTCTGGCGTGGCGCCATCTTTGTATACCCAACAAGTGCTTTTTCTTCATGCAGTACACCCGGCTTCTAGCCATTCCGTCGGGGATCACATCGAGGTTGTTTTTGACACCCACAACGTGCATGAATTGGATGATCACCACACATATTTATGGACTTATTAGTCACTTTATGTGTAATGTGTGTCTCACTTAGTGTGCTGCTCTGATCCCTATTAGGGATTCACATTATCTTTATATTACTGTGTTTCCCTGCAGGGATTTGGGGGTCACGTGTATTATATCTACTTTTGTTTGGGGTCACTTTCTTTGTGTGATCATTTTGTGGTTTTTTAGATTTTATTTTGAATATTTTATTTTGTCTGTGTACTTATTGTATTATACATGGTTCTTGTGTATTATTAAGGTTATATTAGCGCTGCATCATTATTATATTATATGCATATGTCTAGTGAAAGTGATTCAGAAAGTCTCGGTAAATCAAAAGCTGTTATAACTAACATCTTTTTTAGTATCTTTTTTAGATCTTTTTTAGATCAACAGGATGGGGATTTTTCCCGGATCAATCAATCCCAAATAGGAAGAGGAACCAAAAAGAAAGCAGAGGAATCCTTGAAAAACAAACATCAGGAGGACAAGGGCAGAACAAGGAGTCAGAAAAGGTAGTTGATAATAATCCACATGATAAAAAAGTAATTCATTTGGCAGATTTTTCACTCAGAGATGAACATATTACTTTGTTGAATAAAGGTATGTCTTTTTCACCGGTAACCCCCATGGATGAATTTGAAGTATTTAAAGATGTCAATTTATTTCTGAGAAAAAGTATTTTTGAGATTGGTACATAGTAACCCTGAAACTTTGGAGGATTTGGGTTCGAATTCATCCATCGAGGACCGTAAAGCGCTGGAGATGCTGCTAAAAATCCCTCATGGAGGAAAGTGATGATCATAATGAGGATGAACTAGAGGAGGATAATCACCATGATGTGGTTAGAAAAGTCGAGTTAAATATCAGGTCGACTAAAATGCCTAAAATATGTTCTAACATGAGGATAGCATCATTCCTTGACTTAGTAGTGACTGATCTTAAGAATCTTGAGTGGAAAATGCCAATAGGTGACAATCTCACTAAAAAGGAGAGAATTGAAACGAGGCAAAAAATATTATAATTAAAAGAAGTGATAAAGGTGGGAATGTAGTTATTTTAAATGAACAGAATTATATAAAAGAGGTGAAGCGCCTACTAGGTGACTCATATACATACCGTAAATTAACTGCTAACCCCTTTCCTATTGTGGTTAAAAAACTAAATTCTATTTTAATGCTGGGCAAAGAGGCTGGCCTTCTCACTAAAAAGGAGTTTGAATATCTGAGGATAGAAGAGTTCAACTACCCTACCTTCTATATATTCCTAAAATACATAAGGATTTGAAAAATCCCCCATGAAGGCCCATTGTCCCTGCCATACAGGGCCCCCTTGAGAAAACGGGAAAATATGTTGACCTGTTTCTCATGGATATGGTTCCCTTTCTTCCTATGTTAGAGATACTAAAGATGTATTAGCTAAAATTGAAAATCTGAAGATAGATGAGAAGTCCATTTTGGTTGGAATAGATGTTGAGTCATTATATGCATCTATTCCACACGAATGTGGACTAAGATCGGCTTCATTTTTCCTCGATAAATCATATCCCAATATGGGGGGACAAAATGAGTTTATAAGTGAGCTACTGGAATTTGCTTTGCAACACAATTTTTTTCAATTCAATAATACTTTTTACCAACAGATTAGAGGCACAAGTATGGGGGCACCATGGGCCCCGACCTATGCCTGTCTGTCTTTGGGTTTCTGGGAGGAGCAGGTTGTCTATAGATCACCAAGGTTTTTTGCACATGCTCAGATTTGGTTGAGATACATTGACGATGTTTTCCTCGTGTGGAGGGGATCATTGGAGGAATTAAAACTTTTTCTGGAGGAGTTAAATCAAAACTCCTTCAATATTAGACTTACGTGTGTCTTTGATGAAAGGCGTATTTCTTTCCTTGACCTTGAACTTAGACTTGAAGGCGACAGGCTCCTCACCAAAACGTTCAGAAAACCAACTGCAGCTAACACCTTACTAGAGGCCAGGAGTTATCATCCATGTTCATTGATCACTGGGATTCCAGTTGGACAGTTTCTGAGGTGCCAAAGAAACTGTTCAAATATTAATGACTTTAGGATGGAGGCACCGGACCTCTATAAAATGTTTATTGAACGGGATATTCTCACTCTTAGATTAGAAAAGCTAGAAAATGGGCATATCAGTCTGACCGTAAGACGTTGTTGTCCCCGAAAAAGGAAGAGAAGGAGAAAAACAAGTTAGACAACCAGTTAGGATGATAACCCAGTTTGGAGCACAATGGGGGGATGTTAAACAAATATTAGAAAAGCATTGGAAGATCCTTACTCAGTGCCCTAATCTTGGTAAAATTGTAGGTGAGCGTCCTCAAATGGTAGCAAGAAGAGCACCAAATTTGGGTGATCTTCTTATTCACTCTCTGACTATCAGCCATTAAAACAACTAACATGGCTGAAGTCACGTACAAAAGGGATGTATAGGTGTAGAAAATGTCAAATTTGTAAATTTGTGGATCGTACAGATTTTTTCTCCGATTCCAATAATAGAGCTCACTTTAAAATTCAAAGTCTTATAAATTGTTCCACAGCCAGAGTACTTTATATGTTGACTTGCCCATGTAAAAAAATGTATATTGGTAAAACTAAAAGGCAGCTTAAGGTACGAATAGGTGAACATTTTAGAGATATTAGGTCCAATGACCCCGAAAGCAATTTAGCTCAGCATTATGCTAAATGCCATGGCGGCAAATTAGAGGGTACTAAAGTGAAAGGTATTTATGCACTAAATTTCCCTCAGAGGAGAGGTGACTTTGATAAAGAACTATTAAAACGTGAGAAATATTGGATTTATAAACTTGATACTCTATTCCCAAAAGGGTTACATATTGAATGTGATCTCCAAGTATTTTTAGAAAAATAGTCAAGTGTGTAGAATTATAAATTGGCAGCGCCACCTTGTGGGAGGTTTGGTGGCAAACATTTGATTCCTCTTAATGACATAAGAAAGTAGGAAATTTTTCCTCCCTCTTGATGTGCCCAGGTGTCCACTCTTTTAATTGTGTTATATGACCAGCTGTTTTGCTAAGTAATTAGCTCTTTTTCCCCATTGAGAATGATTGCCAGCAACCAATTTGCATATATGGGCGGCACTGAGCCCAGCATAAATAGGAAGCTGAAAAGCAGATGTCTCATTGGTCCTGACGAAGTGAGATATGCCCATTGGCGAAACGCATTGACGTTGGTTCACACTCACTGATTGGTCCAAGCTCACTGATTGGTTTCTAGAGGTTACTGCACATTCTTACTGCTCAGCCGTTGGTTGCTAGAGGTTACTGCACATCCTTATTGCTCACCCATTGGTTGCTAGAGGTTACTCCACATCATCAACACTCACCCATTGGTTGCTAGAGGTTACTGCACATTAACTACTTGCCAATCGCAGATAGCCGAATGACGGCTACACTGCGGCCGGCCATTTCTGGGAGGGCGTCACATGACGTCCTCCCAGAACGCGCTCTCCTGCGCGCCCCTGGGGGTGTTCACCCGGCAATCTCCATGATCACTGTGTCTTACGTACACAGCTGATCACGTGATGTGGTAAAAGGCCAATAACACGCTGATCACCGGGAAATGCAATTGCCGGTTCTCGGCTGCACTTTCCTTACGCTGCCAAAGCGTGAGGAAAGTACTGCGAGAACCGGCAGTTGTCAGAGCAGGAATCGGCTCCAATCAGTGCCCTGATGATCGGAGCCCAGCATTTCCACCAACCAGTTCCGCCCACCTGTGTCCAGCAGTGCACCCACCTGTTCCCAGTAGTGCACCCACCTGTGTCTAGCAGTGCGCCCACTTGTGCCCAGCAGTGCCCCCTCCTGTGCCCAGCAGTGCACCCACCTGTGCCAACCAGCAGTGCCACACACCTGTGCCCAGAAGTGCCACCTACCTGTGCCCAGCAGTGCCACCCACCTGTGCCTACCAGTGCCACCCACCTGTGCCCACCAGTGCCACCCACCAGTGCCCATCAGTGCAGCCCAGCAGTGCTGCCAGTCAGTGCCACCAGTCAGTGCCCAGCGGCTGTGCCAGTCAGTGCCCATCCGTTTCGCAAGTCAATGCCTAGCAGTGATGCCAGTCAGTGCCACCTATCAGTGCTGTCTATCAGTGCCACCTATCAGTGCCGCCTATCCGTGACAGCTCATTAGTGCTGCCTATCAGTGCCGCCTATCCGTGCCACCTCATTAGTGTTGCCTATCAGTGCCGCCTATCAGTGCTGCTTATCAGTGCCCATCAATGCTGCCTATTAGTGCCCATCAATGCTGCCTCATCAACGCACATCAGTGAAGGAGAAAAATTACCTGTTTGAAATATTTTATAATAGAAACAAAGAAACTTTTTTCAAATTTTTTGAACTTTTTTTGTTTATAGCACAAAAAGTAAAGTGCCCAGCGGCAATTAAATACCACTAAAAGAAAGCTCTATTTGTGAGAAAGAAATGATAACAATTTCATATGGGTACAATCTTGCATGACCGCGCAATTGTCAATCAAAGTGCGACAGCGCTGAAAGCTGAAAATTGGCCTGCTAAAGAAGATATAAGTGCCCGGTAGGTAAGTGGTTAATATCGCTCATCCATTGGTTGCTAGAGGATACTGCACATAATTACTGCTCACCCACTGGTTGTTAGAGGTTACTGCACATCATTACCGCTCACTGATTGGCTGCTAGAGGTTACTACACATCATTACCGCTCACCCATTGCTTGCTAGAGGTAACTGCACATCATTACCACTCACCCATTGATTGCTAGAGGTTACTGCACATCATTACCATTCACCTATTGGTTGCTAGAGACTGCTTCACATCATTACTGCTCATCTATTGGTTGCTAGAGGTTACTGCACATCATTACTGCGCATCCATTGGTTGCTAAAGATTGCTGCACATTATTACTGCTCACTGATAGCTTGCAACTCACCACATTCCCCTCTGCAAGCTGCTCCGACCCTGCCACTGTTTTGTTGATCTCCTCCTCCGCTGTTGACAGGAGAAGGGTGAGGAAGAAGAATACATGCAGCCCTTTGATCTCTGCACTGCTGGCTGACCGGAGAAGGAGAGAGTGAGAGGGAGCCGCTCTGCCTCACTGCCTGTCACAGCCACTCAGGTCCTGCTGTCCTGGCAGAGGAGGGAGAAGCGGGAAGAGCGGACTCCAGCATATGCAGCACACAGCTGTGCCTCTCCCCTGTCACAGTGTGGTCACATGTGTTAACCCATCCAGGAGAGCTAGAGGGGGATCAGCTGCATAGGAAAGTTATTTCCGGGCAGCGTAGGCTCAAAGGGCAGCTGCTTTGAGCCCCACAACAATTACAGGGCTCTGGGCAGCTCCCCCTTTTGTCCCAAGTTAAAAACGGCCCTGGGAGTGGTATATACTATTCAGAAGATATGAAAATGCATAGAGGTATTTTTGGAAAATGTTGCCAAAGGTTAACTTACACTTTAAAATTATGAATACTGTAATTCAGCCATTCTCAACCAGAGGTTCCTTGGGGGTTACTTGAACTTTGCCTGATTGTTCTCACATTTCATGGTGCTTTAATTGTTCCAGAGACAATGCTATTCAGCAGAGCCAGCTGCAGGACACCAATTGCCTTTTTTGGTGTATGTATGCACTTTGACCACCACCGTAAAAGAGGCATTCTTCCCACAGACCATCAAGGTAAGGGGCATTCTTCCACTGACCACCAATGAATTGATTTTAGCAGAGGTTCCCCAAGACTAGACATTTTGCATTGGTTTGTCTGGGGTACAAAGGTTGAGATAGGCTGTTTTAATTGGTAATTTTTAACAATTAACTGCTGTTTAGATTGTTGTCCTGGAGCAGGGGCGGACTGACAACTCATGGGGCCCCCCGGGCAATAGGAGATCATGGGGCGCCTGTGTCCTTGCCCAAACTCAAAAAAGTCTATGAAAAAAGGTACCAGGGGCATCTCATAGGGCCCCCTACTGACCCTCGGGCAGAGCCCAGGTTTCCAAATGGTCAGTCCGCCCCTGTCCTGGAGTAAGAAAATCTCTGCACAGGGAGTGGCTAAGTGTGTAATATGTCAGGTTTTGATCATAGAGGTGCTTTCCCACTTCAGTCTCTCTTTTGGCGATCTCCTGTTCTACCTTCCTTGCTACCCAAGTGCATTCTGACACATCTTCATATCGACTACCGGGGCCCATCTTGCAGAAAGCATGAGCTGCTGTCTCTTCTAAAGATGGCCCTGCTGCATGGCTGCTGTCCTCTACCAGGAAAATGGCCTCCTGAGAACAAAAGGAGAGATACGCATGGCTCCCATGCAGCAAGGCAGAAATGGAACATTTCAAGAGGGTTAGCAGGGTACAGATATTGGGGGGGGGGGGGGCATCCAAGTGGATTGATAATTAAGATCGTTAAATACTGTAGATAGATAATTATAGAGAGGTCAATGGGAGATAGAGAACCAAATCAGATATTATCTTCGTAGCCATTTTCAAGGGTTCTGGCAGGATTAGTGGAGGAGAAGAATGAGGGTGCATCAGCCTTTTCCTGACCAAGCAACTGCAGTATTTTGGGAATAACTGAACTGAGACTGAGAATATCCAGCAAAACCATGCTGGTTCCAAAATAAAATGTAGTGCTTTAGGGCATCCCCAATCTGTTATTTGATAGTTTTTTTTTTTATTTCCATGTCACCCTCAGAGCCACATGATAAAGGACTCTGTCCCTAATGTGATTTTTTTTTTTTTTTAATTTTTGGCATATGCACTGGTTCCCTATAGCAGTGCCCAGCTACCCATGCTTTTTTTTTTTTTTTTTTTACAGTAGTTTGCCTATTAGCCCTAATTGTGGCCAGAATGTACCAACAAGATTCCCCCCTCATAGACTTCAATAAGAGTTGCTGTTAAAATTATGCTAATTTCTGGATTAAAAAAATCTATTCATGTATGTATTCTTAACTCAAAAAGCTTCTTCTATTGCTATCCTTTCTAAAATCTCCAAATTCCTTTTTTGCTGCTGAAATCTGACTACTTGTTGGAAGGTAGCTACATTTGTTCTCCATGGTCCCACTTTATGTAGAGACATAGGCATCCTGTCTTTCTCACTCCTGAGATAGACTATAGGCTATGGGATTTGTACTGTGCTTAGAGCTCAGAGAGGATTGTACAAGGAAACAGAGGGACACAGAAATAATTTCATGAAAATTAAATTACAGGACAATTTCCTCTAGTCCATACATTTTGGTTTGAGATTAACACCTTTATTCCCTCAGTACTGGTCCTTCCTAACATACTACATCCTAAGAATTGTTCACTGGGAGTACTTTGGGATATCTCCATTTTGAAATATGTTAAGCTTTTGTTGCGGGTATTGTACTTTTCTGCAAAGAAAAGTATTCTACTGACATGAAGGGGACCCTGTTCTCCATCTCTTAACATTTGGCTGCAATTAATCAATGCTAATCCACCACTTTATAAGCTCACATACAAGCTCAGTTTGTTAGGATATGGGACAGTTGGGTTCAGGGGCGGACTGACAACTCATGGGGCCCTCGGGCTAGAGGGGATCATGGGGCCCCTGTGTCCTTTCCCACACTCAAACCACACCCAAAAAAGCCTATGAAAGGTACCAGGGACATCTCATGGGGCCCCCTACTGACCCCGGGCCCTAGGGCAGTTCCCGAGTTCCCCAATGGTCAGTCCACCCCTGGTTGGGTTCTAGTCACTGACTCTAGTTTTTCCAGATACAGGAAGCTAGGTCTTGTATACTGCCTGTCTGTTTTGCTGATATCTTCTATGATTTGACTTACAGTACCTGAAGCAAGCCTTATCTTTGTTAATACTGCTTTGTAATGACAAGACACGTGAGACCATTGTTGGTTTAAGTGTTTAATTATTTTCTTTCTGTATTGTCTTTATTTGAAAAACCAATAAATATAGCACCTTGAAAAAGTATTCATACCCCTTGAAATTTTCCACGTTTTGTCATGTTACAACCAAAAACGTAAATTTATTTTATTGGAATTTTATGTGATAGACCAACACAAAGTGGCACATAATTGTGAAGTGGAAGGAAAATCATAAATTGTTTTCAAATTCTTTTTACAAATATGTCAAAAGTGTGGCGTGCATTTGTTTTCATGCCCCTCGAGTCAATATTTTGTAGTATAACTGCACTATAATTACAGCTGCAATTTTTTTTTTGGATGTCTCTGCCAGCTTTGCACATCTAGAGAGTGAACATTTTGCCCATTCTTCTTTGCAAAATAGCTCACGCTCTGTCAGATTGGATGGAGAGCGTCTGTGAACAGCAATGTTCAAGTCTTGCCCAGATTCTCAATTGGATTTAGGTCTGGACTTTGGGCCATTCTAACACATGAATATGCTTTGATCTAAACCATTCCATTGTAGTTCTGGATGCATGTTTAGGGTTGTTGTCCTGCTGGAAGGTGAACCTCCACCCCAGTCTCAAGTCTTTTGCAGACTCTAACAGGTTTTCTTCTAAGATTGCCCTGTGTTTGGCTCCATCCATCTTCCCATCAACTCTGACCAGCTTCCCTGTCCCTGCTGCAGAAAAGCATCCTCACAACATAATACTGCCACCACCATGTTTCACAGTAGGGATGGTGTGTTCAGGGTGATGTGCAGTGTTAGTTTTCTACCACACATAGTGTTTTGCTTTTAGGCCAAGAAGTTCAATATTGGTCTCATCTGACCAGAGCCCCTTCTTCCACATGTTTGCTGTGTACCCCACATGGCACTCACAAACTGCAAACGGGACTTCTTATGGCTTTCTTTCAGCAATGGCTTTCTTCTTGCCACTCTTCCATAAAGGCCAGATTTGTGGATGAACGACTAATAGTTGTCCTGTGGACAGATTCTGTGGATCCCTGCAGCTCCTCCAGAGTTACCATGGGACTCTTGGCTTCTTCTTTGGTTAATGCTCTCCTTGCCCGGCCTGTCAGTTTAGATGGATGGCCATGTCTTGGTAATTTGGCAGTTCTGCCATGCTCTTTCCATTTTCGGTTAGTGGATTGAACAGTGTTCCGTGAGATGTTCAAAGCTTGGGATATTTTTTTATAACCTAACCCTACTTTAAACTTCACAACTTTATCCCTGACCTTTCTGGTGTGTTCCTTGGCCTTCATGATGCTGTTTGTTCACTAATATTCTCTAACAAACCTCTGAGGGCTTCACAGAACAGCTGTATTTATACTGAGATTAAATTACACACAGGTGGACTCTATTTACTAATTAGGTGACGTCTGAAGGCAATTG